CATATCCATGCTGTATACGCTACCTGCCCATTAGTCGCTTAGTAGCTGTCTTGGTTATCAAATTGACTGTCACGGTATTGCAGTGCTTCTGTTCAAGTCACCCTTACTTTACTTAATAACGGCCCCAAAGTGCAAGAGCAGTGATGCTGACAATTCGGATATGCCAATGAGAAGCTGTAAAGTGCTTCCTTTATGTGAAAAGGTGAAAGTTCTTGATTTAATAAGGAAAGAAAAAAAATCGTATGCTGAGATTACTAAGATCTACAATAACTTTTGTTGCAGTATGTTGTTGTAATTGTTCTATTTTATTATTTTTTATTGCTGTTAATCTCTTACTGTGCATAATTTATAAATTAAACTTGATCATAGTTATGTGCGTATAGGAAAAGACAGTATATACAGTTCGGTGCTATCCACAGTTTCAGGCATCCACTGGGAGTCTTGGAATGTATTCCTCGCAGATAAGGGGTGCTACTGTGTGTTGGATAACCGTCCTTTATAAGGTGTTCTTTTGCAAATTTTTTCTCCCAGTGTGTGGCTTGTCTTCTCATTCGTTGGACATGGTTTTCACAAAGCAGAAGTTTTTAATTTTAATAAGACTAGCTTACCAATTATTTCTTCTGTGGATTGTGCATTTAGTGTTGTATCTAAAAAGTCATTGCCATACCCAACCTACATCTAGGTTCCCTCCTAAGTTTATTTCTAGTAGTTTTATAGTCTTGCATTTTACATTTAGGTCTGCGATCCATTTTGAGTTGATTTTTGTGAAGGGTGTAAGATCTGTGTCTAGATTCATTTTTTTGCATGTGGATGTCCAGCTGTTTCAGCATCATTTGTGGAAAAGACTATGGTTGCTCCATTGTACTGTCTTTGCTCCTTTATCAAAGATCAGTTGACTATATTTATGTGGTTCTATTTATGGGCTGTCTATTCTGTTTGGTCCATCTATTTGTTTGTTCTTTCACCAATACCACCGTATCTTGATTACTGTAGCTTTATAGTAAGTCTTAAAGTTGAGTAGTGTCAGTCCTCCAACTTTGTACTCCTTTGATATTAAGTTGGCTATCCTAGGTCTTTGCTATTCTAGGTCTTCTGTCTCTCCATACAATTTGGAAATAGTTTGTCAATATTCATAAAATAAATTGATGGGATTTTGATGGTGACTGTGTTGAATCTATAGATCAAGTTGGGAAGAGTTGACATCTTGACAATACTGAGTCTTCCTATATATGAATATGGATTATCACTCCACTTATTTAGTTCTTTGATATCTTTCATCAGAGGTTTGTAGTTTCCCTCTTACAGATCTTGTCCATGTTTAGATAGATTTATACCTAAGTATTTCATTGTTTGGGCTACTAATGTAAATGTAGTGTGTTTTTAATTTCATATTTCACTTCATCATTGCTGGTATGTAGGAAAGCAATTAACTTTTGTATACCAAAATCTTTTATCCTGCAACCTTGTCATAATTGCTTATTAGTTCCAGTTATTTTGTTAGAATCTTCTGGATTTCAATATAGACAATCATATCATCTGTAAACAGAGGCAGTTTTATTTCTTCCTTCCCAATCTGCGTATTTTTTATTTCATTTTCTTGCCTCATTGCATTAGATAGAACTTCCAGTATCATGTTGAAAAGCAGTAGTGAGAGAGGACATCCTTACCTTTTACCTAATCTTAGTGAGAAAGCTTCAGGTTTCTCACCATAAAGTATAATATTAGCTATAGATTTTTATGGATATTCTTTATCAAGTTGAGGAAGTTCTCCTCTAATCCTATCCTACTGAGAGTTTTCATCATGAATGGTTGTTGGATTTGTCAAATGCTTTTTCTGCATCTATTGATTTATCATGTGATTTTTTTCTTTGTTAGACTATTGATGTGATAGATTACATTAATTGATTTTTGAATGTTGAACCAGCTTTGCATAACTGCAATAAATCCCACTTGGTTGTGGTGTGCAATTCTTTTTGCACATTGTTGGCATTTATTTGCTAATATTTTGTTGAGTGTTTTTCATCTATGTTCATGAGAGATATTGATCTACAGTTTTCTTTTCTTGTAATATCATTTGTCTGGTTTTGGCAATAAGGTAATGTTGGTCTCATAGAATGAGTGGGAAGTATTCCCTCTACTTCTGTCTTCCAAAAGAGATTGTAGAGAATTGTTATAATTTCTTCCTTAAATGTTTGGTAGGATTCACCAGTGAACAAATCTGGTCTTAGTACTTTCTGTTTTGAAAGGTTTTAAATTATTAATCAATTTCTTTAATAGATGTAGGCCTATTCAGATTGTCTATTTCTTGTATAATCGAATCTTTCAAGGAATTGGTCATATTCTTCTACGTTACCAAATTTGTTGGCATAGAGTTGTTCATAGTATTTCTTTATTATCCTTTCAATGTCCATGGGATCTGTAATGATGTCCCCTCTTTTGTTTCTGTTCATAGTAATTTGTGTCTTCTCTCTCTCTTTTTTTTTTTTTCTTTAATTAGCCTGGCTAGAGACTTATCAATTTTATTGATCTTTACAAAGAACCAGCTCTTAATTGTATTGATTTTCTCTATTGATTTCCTCTTTTCAATTTCATTGATTTCTGCGCCAATTCTTATTATTTCTTTGCTTCTGCTTACTTTGAATTTAATTTGCTTTTCTTTTTCTAATTTCCTAAGGCAGAAGCTTAGATGATTGATTTTAGATCTTTGTTGTTTATAATATATATGTTCAATGATATAAAATTCCCACTAAGCACTGCTTTTGCTGCACCCAATAAATTTTGATGTTATATTTCCATTTACATTAAATTCAAAATATTTTTAATTTCTTTTGAGATTTCTTCATTGAGCCATGTGTTATTTAGAAGTGTGTTATTTAATCTCTAAATATTTTAGCATTTTCCAGCTATCTTTCTGTCACTGATTTCTAGTTTAATTCCATTTTGGTCTGAGAGCAAATATTGTATGATTTCTATTCTTTTAAATTTGTTAAGATGTGTTTTATGGCCCAGAATGTGATCTATCTTGATGAGTGTTCCATGTGCGTATGAGAAGAGTGTATATTCAGCTGTTGCTGGATGAAGTAGTCTATAGATATCCATTAAACATAGTTGATTGCTGGTGTTGTTGAGTTTAACTATATCCTTACTGATTTTCTGCCTGCTGGATCTTCCATTTCTGTTAGAGTGGTGTTGAAGTCTCCAAATATGATAGTAGATTTATCTATTTATCCTTGCAGTTCTGTCAGTTTTTGCCTCATGTATTTTGTTACTCTGTTTTTAGGCATATACACTCTAAGTATTGTTATGTCTTTTTGAAGTATTGAGCCCTTTATCATTATGTAATGTCCCTCATTATCCCTTGCCATGAAGTCTGCTCTGTCTAAAATTAATATAGCTACTTCGGCTTTCTTTTGATTAGTGTTAACATAGTATGTCTTTATCCTTCCCTTTAATTTTTTAAAAAACTTTTGACGGTCTTCACCCATTTCTTCCACCCTCACCCTCCCTTATAATCTATATATGTCTTTGTATTTAATGTGGGTTTCTTGTAGACAGCATATAGTTGGGTGTTGTTTTTTGATCTACTCTGACCATCTCTATCTTTTAAATGGTATATTTAGATCATTGATGTTTAAAGTAATTATTGGTATAGTTGGGTTAATATCTGCCATGTTTGTTACTGTTTTCTATTTGTTGTCCTTATTCTTTGTTCCTAAATTTTGTCTTCGACACTTTTTCTGTCTTTCATGGTTCCAACTGATCATTTTTTATAATTTAATTTTCTCTCCTTTCTTAGCATATCTATTATACTTTTTAAAAATAGTTTTTTTAGAGGTTGACCTAGAATTTACAATATACATTTACAACTAATCCAAGTCAAATTTCAATTAACACTACACCATTTCACAGGCAGTTCAAGTAACTTATAGTAACAAAATATTCCGAATTCCTCTCTCTCGTCTCTTGTATAATTGCTGTCATTCATTTTACTTACATAAAGTTAAATATAAGCATATATATAATCATTCATAATCAAATACATTGTTGCTATTAATATCACAAACAAACTGTTTTCTGTTAGATCAATTAAGAATAGGAAAAATAAAATTTTCTTTTTTACCTTCACTTATTTATTCTCCTATGCTCTTCCTTTCTTCATGTAAATCTGAGTTTCTGACCTATATCATTTTTCTTCTCTCTAAGGAATTTCTTTTAACATTTCTGACAATACAAATCTACTGCAAAATATTCCTACAGTTTTTGTTTGTCTGAGAAAGTCTTTATTTCTCCTTCACTTTTGAAGGATGATTTTGTAGAGTACAGAGTTCTAGGCTGGTGGTTATTTTCTCTCATCGCTTTAAATATTTCACTCCACTCTTCTTTCTTGCATGGTTTCTGAGGAGAAGTCTGATGTAATTCTTAACTTTGCTTTTTTATATGTGAAGTTTTTTTATCTGGCTTCTTTTAAGATATTTTTTCTGTATTTTTGATTTCTGCAGTTTGAATGCTGCAGGCCTCAGTGCAGTGTTTTTATGTTTTTTGTTTTTTTCATTTATCCTGCTTAGTGTTCTCTGAGCTTCCTAGATCTGTGGTGTGGTGTCTGACACTAGTTTGGACAAATTCTCAGTCACTATTGCCTCAAATATTGCTTCTATTCCTTTCTCTCTTTCTTCTTCTTCTGAAATTCCCATCACGTATACATTTTACTTTTTGTAGTTGTCCCACTGTTCTTGGGTATTCTGTTCTGGTCTTTTTCATTTTGTTTTCTCTGCTTTTCAGTTTTGGAAATTCCTATTTTCACGTCTTTAAGCTCAGAGATTCTTTCCTCAGCATGTCTAGAATTATTCATTTCTATTACAGTGTTTTTGATCTCTAGCATTTCTTTTTGATTCTTCCTTAAAATTTGTATCTCCCTACTAACACTATCCATGTGCTCTTGCCTGTTGTCTAATTTTTTCATTAAATCTTCTTAGCATATTATTAATAGTTTTTTTCTAAATTCTTGATCTGATAATGCCAACATTCCTGCCATACCTGACTCTGGTTCCGATGCTTGTTCAGGTCTTCAAACTATGTTTTACCTGTTAGTATGTCTTATAATTTTTTGTTGAAAAGTGGACTTGACGCACTGGGTAAGAGAACTATGGCAAATAGGCCATTAGTAATGCAGTGGTAAGGTTTGCACAGAGAGGAAGCATTCTATAATCGTATGATTACATCTAAGACTTTTGGTGATCCTGTGCTGCTGGCCTGTGAACTTCACCAATGCTTCTCACTCTCCCCAACCCATTTAGGTGCGGCAGGATAGCCAGTGGGGGCTGGAATTGGGTATTTCCCTTCTCCCAGGTAGATTAGGCTCTGAAAAAAACCCAACAGGTTAGGATTTGGTAAAATAGTTTCTCCTGAGGGGAGGCCTTGTAAAGAAGAAGAGAATGCTCTGGTGTATTTCAAAATGATTCCTTTTCTCCCTCTGCCAGAAGCATGAGGGGATTTTTCTCTGTTATTCACTGTGAGGACTTGGTAGATCTCCAGGAGATAAAACTCACAAAAGCGTGAGGGTTTCCTATGACTGGGTCCTCCTGGAGATATTTACTCTTGGAGTTGCCCATACTAAGCCTCCAGCTATTCATCAATTACAGTTCCAGTTTTTCTACCCCTGTACTGGTTCCTACAGAGATTTCTGTTTCAGTAAGTTAAGATTCTCTGCATCTACCTGTCTGCCCAATTTTTAGGGCAGTGAGTTTGCCCTGTGACCTAACTTCTCTGATGGATCCAAAAAGAGCTGTTGATTTTTCCATTTCTTCAGCTTTTTACTTGTGATGTTGGAGTGGCAAATTCTGGTCCTATGCGCTAGACCAGAAACCAGAAGTCCTCTCAAACCACTTTGTTTTAAAGTCACTTGAAATAATTACTCTCCTGTGTAGTTATGTCAGTGTGACAGACAGACTCTAAGATGGCCCCGATGATCCATTCCTCTTGATATTTGTGACTTTGTGTGATTCCTAACTCTTTAGTGTAGGCAAGACCTGTGACTTGCTCTTAGCAATAGAATATGACAAAGGTGATGTGTGTATATGTTTATGTGTACATGATTACGTTACCTTAGATTGTAATGCCAGTCTTGCAAGGAGATGCTCTCTCTTACTGGTTTTAGCAAGGAAGCAGCCATGCTAGGAAGGCCCACGTCTCAAGGAATTGAGGGAAAATTCCAGTCCTTGCTTACAGACAGCAAGAAACTGAGCCTCTCGGTCCAACAGTCCACAAAGAACTAAAGGCTCCCAACAATTACACAAGCATGGAAGTGGATCCTTCCTCAGTTGAGCCTCAGAAGAGACCACATCCCAAGCTGATACCTTGATGACAGCCCTGTGACATCCTGAAGCAGAGGATGCACAGACTCCTCATCCACAAAAGCTGTGAGATAATGCCTATGTGTTTTAAGTCTTCAAGTTTGTGGTAGTATTTTTACACTGCAATGGCTAACTAGTATAGCTACCAACTCAATAGAAGATTAGGGTAAATTGTTTAATTTGACTTTCAGTTTTTATGATATCAACCTACATTTGTTTTCAAACGGAATCAAGTCTTCCTTGCTGAAAGGAATACCATGGCTGTAGTAGTAGTGTTCATCAGTTATCTTTGTCAATCTTCACTGAGCAAAATCTTCTATCTATGATCAAATTCTATCTTGATTTACTACAGCCTGTAATTATAGAAAACAAAACTCAACACTTCAATAATCAAAAACTACAGTGTGTTTTACATATAAGCAGCACAAAATGTTCCTTATTGTATAGAAGAAAAAAATTTGGTTTAGAAAAATTGTGAGACTAAGAAAAATTTTCCCGTGATGATATACCAATTTGGGAAGATTCATCTTGGGAGCCAAAATTGTTTCATAGAAAAGGTACCTGACTGTTTATGGGATCTTGCCCTTAAATTTATTTATATCTTCTAGTTGTAGCTTTGAATAAGTCACTTAAATTCTCAGTTTTGAAATCTATAAAATATGGCTATATAGATGCTAAGACTTCTAGCTCTAAATTTTTATGATTCTCTGAAATTGATACAGCATTGTCAGAACAAGAAACAGGAATCACTGGGGTGATAATCTGTACCCCGTCCCCCCAATCAGTGTTGCATCAACTGTCCATAAATATTTTGACTCATATGTGTCTAAATTTCATGTTTTTGAGGGTAGGTACACCACTTGTATATATACAGAAGGACTAAAATTTATAGTTGCTTTGGAGAATGTATAAGTTGAACAAGATTATCATTATATTTACTCATTTTTACTGGCTTTATAATTCTAACTAGTTTTTTTTTTTCTTGCTTTTAGCTGTGAATTCTGAGTTAAAGGATTTTAGTACTCTTTATTTCAATTAAATAAAAAAATAATTTACAAATTATATTACTTGAGTAAATTTGAGGTGATTCATCCAAAGACACAGGAAAACACTGCTTTTATTTGTAAGGTCTGCTTATCTGAATTCACTTAAAACAAATATTTGCTTTTTTTTTCTATTTTTCAGTGAATTACTATGGCCACTGTTGGATATGTCATTTGAACCTTTATACAGAAATACACTAAACCAATCCTGCAAATTAGGAAATCACACATGTAAGCATATCTTACACATATGTAAGCATAGCACATATGTTAAGAACTCCTGAAAGGGCATGCCTCATTCAGCTTTCCTTATCATAAGAAAACTTACCAGTTCTGTACATACTACTTAAATAGTCTGAAATAGATTCTGGGAACAAACAAACAAAAAAGCGTCTTCAAAGGCTGATGCTTCACATGCTTATTAGTGTAGCATGAAAGAAAATGATAATACAATAGTTTTTCACAGTGTGAAATGTACAAAGTTGGATAGCAACATCATGTATGGCCATTGGTTAATGTGCAAATGTTCGCTGCCAGGGTGAAGCAACCAGGAGTGAACCATGAAATGATTGCATTCACCCTGAAATGTCAGCAAGGCACAGAAGCCATGAGTGGGCTCATCTTTTCCTGAGTGTGATGAAAGTACTCACTAGAGCAGCAAAAATAACGTATTTAATATTTATATTTTATTAAGAGAGGGACGCTTAGGCCTTTGCATAATATGAATTCAGGAGGCAGAGGATGGTCTTAATATGTAAATACTTATTTTAATGCGTCACCATATGTAGCCCTTTTCCTTTCCAGCTGGCTGGCCTTCCTGCCTCTCTCCTTTCCTTTATAACCAACACAAAAATCACTAGGAAACAGTTCCTGATTAACTTTATCCCTTTTTTTGTTTCAGAGTTTCATGGACTTTTAGACTATCAGCATTGAAACAGACTTTATAAATAATTTAGCTCAACCCCATTTGCCCCCCTCATCTCACTTAAATGACCACATGCATGTGCGTGTGTATGCACATGCATGCACTGTGGACAGATGTTTCTGATTCTTATGTATCAGTACACTCTTTTCATCAACAAATTATATTTTAAGTCAGCAGGGAAAATAGTTATTTAATAAATTATTTTGCACCTTGGATATTTGAGAAAACCTTATTGACAAAATAATTTGAAGGATTAATGATCAATTTAGTATTTTCTTTTGGACTATTAAGCTGATGTTAGATACACCACATCCTAGAACTACTGAGGTGAATGTTGCAAAATGCCAGTCATCTAATGTTATTACAACCACTTTTTTAATGATAAGTAATATGGCAGCATCAAAAGAATGAGACATATAGTATAGAGCCTTAGTAAGAAAAATAAATCCATATATATTGCCTTCATTATTCTGACAACTTCAAGTATACCCTCTAATTAGATATTGGCTAATTTATTATCAATGCTTGAAGAACAACTTTTTCCTTTCTAAGGCTAAATCTCTTGTCTATGAGACGTAATTCAGAAATTAGATAATGGATGATATGACATTAGCAACAGCATCAACAGCTTTGGTTATTGTTGGGCGATGTAATAAAGGCTTAACATGCGTTATCTTCAGAAAAAAATGCTTCCTGGTAGATACTGTATATTAGAGATGAGAAAGATGAATCTTAGAGGGAAAAGCTTGCTAAGAAATGAGCATTAGTGACAGAATTGGAACTTGATATAGTATCTCAATGATGCCATAATTTGAGTGTTCTTAACCATTCTACTTTTTTCTCTTCTCCCTTTGTACTACGGAATGATCAGCTCTAATTAGTTTAATTAAAAAGGGTTTTATTAAGGGATCTCATTCACAGAATTTTTGGAAAGACTGAAGAAAAATACTCCAGGAGCATTTCCAGGATTGACCACCAGAATCACAATCCCAAACAGGCCTGACAAAGTTGCTTCTACTATTCGTAAACACTCACATCAGGAAAGCTCCATGGGAGCTGCCAGCTTCAGAACCATTCCACCTTTGCACCATAACAAGCTATCGAACCCAGAAGCTACTGACACAGCTGAAAATTCTAAAATCCCACTACCTCTATCACATATCATGAATCTGTACCTTTTGGTGCAATGGTGGCTGGGCAATGCAGTTGCGGGTTTTAGTGCTGCTAATTTCAAGAAAGTGAATTAGCCAATTGTGGAGAAAGTCTCGTAAGACTGTGGACAGCTGTTCCCTACAAGGTCCAGATTACTTATTCAGTGCCTAATATGTGTAAATTACCTAATGCAAAGATTCACAGCTGGAAATCAAAGAATAAAATGTATTACCTATATTTACTGTTTAGGGCAGGAGCTGTGCGGGAGACTGGGGATAGAAAAACACAATAAGATGTGCCCCCTATTTCACAGTATTTCACTTAGATAAATCAAGCTTACATCCTAGGTTGAATTATTATCTCTTTTGAGAAAGAGATGACTTAATACATAGTCTGAATCTCTTTTGCCTATCATTTTTCCATACACAGTGTGCCTACATATATATATGTATGTAATACACCATATTGTAAGATTATTTCATTGTCTATATTGCTTACTGAAAATATTAGGAAAATTAATACCAGGTTGGTACTTAAATAATTGGATAATATATAGTGCAAACAATACCCATTTTCAAGCAGAACTTTTACTTTCATGTAGAAAAATGGAGTTAATTGTTAGATATCTACATAATATTTTCTATTTGGTTTAAGGAAGTCGCATTGCCCATTTGGTTTTTATTGACTAATCAATCGTAATCAGTATAGTAACAATAATAACTAAAAATGTGTTTGGGATTTGCACATGGCTCACCAAAATTAGTTCTCAAAATAACTTCTGGAGTTTGTAACAAATATTATTATTACTATATCTATTTACCGCAAAAGAATTAAGGCTAATAGAGTGTAATTGGGCAGGAAAGGGTCCCTTCAGCTGACCTAGGTTGCTCCAATCCTATACATTCCAAAGAAAGGCCTGTCTTCAGGACTGGCCCTTGGAATATTCTGCCAGAAAAGATTGTTTTTATGTGCTTGAGGCCTTGGGCCACTCTGCTGTATCATTTATCCTAACAGTGTGATTGATAGTGAATGTTGGCTTTTGCTTGGGACGGTAGGGGAAAGGGCTGGAATCTGAGTAACTGAGGCCACTCATGTGGGTTGATCCCCACTAAAAAGCTCTGTACAACAAGGCTTGAGTGAGCTTCCCCAGTTGGGAACTCTTCACACATCACATATCACTGCTGGGAGAATTAAATGCATTCCCATGCAACTCCACTGGGAGAGACATGGGAAATTTGCAGTGTTCCTTCCTGGACTCTGCCCATGTGCCTTTCTCCTTTGCTGGTTTTAATCTTTATTCTTCTATTGTAATGAACCATAACCAGGAATATGAGAGAATCTGAGTCCTTCTAGCTCATCATCAAGACCGAGGGTAATCTTAGGGACTCTTGACACAGTAAGATGTGCTGAATATCACACAGACTTCCAGGATAAATCCTGCGATTTTGATGAAAAAAATCACACATTTTCTTTTAGAGTATATGACTTTTATACACATGATAGTAGCATGATTTTGGAGCTGCATGCGTATTTACCTTCTCTTCGGTAAAGTACATGTTGCGAGCAGGGGCGATTTGTCTCCCAGCACTCATCAATATTGTCTTACTGAGTTGGAATATTCATCGCTCATGAAAAGTAAAATACGGCTGTGTTCTATAAATGAGATAGTATGGACAAAGTGGGTTTTGTAATGGGCCTTAACTTCTTTTTTTAGAGATGACGAAGTATTGCATTCTCTGAATCTTTCCGTTGTCATTAGGAAATATCTAATGGAGAAAATATTGATCCTTCTCTGTAGTCTCAGTGGGCAGCCTTTCCTCTGGCTTAGTTTGCAAGAATTCTCAAGACTCCTTCTGGTGAGAAAATGTCATTGGCTTGGCATCCTACAGGCATAAGAGTTCCATTGGGACCATCACTTCATTATTCTATTTTCCTAGTTGAAATATTTTCTCTTATATTGGACTTAAGAAATTAATTGGTAAAGTGATGATTTACTCTTCCATATCTTTATTTGTTCTCATATCAAGAAGTCCCTATGATGATGTAACATCCCCATGGTTGCTAAAATTTAAAAAGTACTTGTTAGTTTTGAAGTCCTGTTCAATCTAGGTACCTTTTTTGTTTTGTTTTGTTTAGTTTACTGTAAGTGTGAAATTATTATATATTTATATATTAAACATATGGAATTTCATATACATAAATTTATCTAAAATTCATATATATGAAATATATATTCATATATTTGAAGGACAATTCTACATTCTTTTAACTAATGGAAGTGACTGCATATTTAGAAATTTACATTATTCTATTTCTATTGGTAAATACATAATAATTTCATATAATAAAAATGAAAAATCATTGGCACAGTTGAGATTTTTTAGAATTTTACTTTAGTTTTGACTTTCAAATACTAGATGCTATTTTAAGAAATCAGAATACTTGAAGAAATTTCAAATATTGGCAATCCACAAAAAGAAAGAAGAGAAATATTCAATAGTAGTTCAGTAGGATATAAACCCTACAGGCCTAACTGATGGTTACATTCCATCTGGTTTATGCTTATTTCTAGGAAGGAAAATAAACTACACACTGAAATGAACCTGACGATTTTCCATAGCTGGCCAACAAGCTGTTGCATTTGAACCAGTTATAATATTCTAATGTTATTCAGTTAGGTTTACTTTGAAAGTATTTTTCCAGTCTAATGAGATTTATGGATTTCCTTTGACATGGAGTTTCTCTACATGCTTTATATGTTTATTCTTACTTTCTTGTCTTTTTTTAAAGCATTCTAAAATAAGAAACTATCACAACATGCTATTTTATTCTGATTTTGACTGTAGGACATATGTATTATTCAAGTAGCAGACCAACTGGAACACAAGTATGGCACAGGAGTATTTTTATTATGGTCATATAGGATTATCTGAATTTCATTAGCTGCTGCAGATTTGTGCCTGAAAGAAAAGTCCTTTATTACCATTGCAAACTTGCAAAATTTCTTTCCCTGAGACTAGGCGAAATTGAGATCTTTGGCTTAACATGATAGTGAGGAACTGGTCTCTTTATGTATAATATAAAATGTTAATACCCACCAATTTTTTTTAACTTTTCTTTGATTTCTTTGATCTTCTTTTAAGGCAATATAATTCCATGCCAAAGTGTGCCCACTCTGGAGGTGGACTATATAGGTGTGGACGCCAGCTTTGACACTTTCTATTTAGACTACCTTGGCAAATTATTTTAACTCTCTAAGCTTCAATTCTCTTATCTGTAAAATAGAAATAATAGTTTCCACCTATCTGGACCTTTATGAAAATTAAATTAGATTATGCAAGTGAAGCCACTAGAAAGGATTTAAATTTAGAAAGAGTGCTATGATGGATTCCATGCCATCTCACAGGCTCAGAAATATATAACGGCAATGACATATATTTGCCATTAGTTAGCCACAAAGGGTATCCTATTTTCTTTTGAGTCTTGACTTTTTTTTTCCCTAAAATGGTATGAGTTTTCAAATCTTAAATGATAGAGCTAGAAACTATATAACTCCTAAATCAGAAAGTTGTCCTAAACACTTTTTTTTAATCCTAATTCCATATCTAAATAACTTTGTTTTGTTCTGCAAGTTCCTTTCATATCTCCTCTGAGCTATTGAGATTGCTTTCCATCTGCTTCTGGTCCATTCTATCCATGGTACTGGCACACAGGGAGTAATCTATAACAGAATGGCAAAGTATAGAGAATAGTGCCAAGAAACGTACTCTAGGAATTAAATTCTGGTTTTGCCTTGCTTAACCTCTTTCCGTATCAGTTTTCCTATCTCTACAAAATGAATAGTTATGGAACTTACCTCACAGAGTTGTATTGGTTTAAATGCAATATCCATAGCAAATGTGTAAATTTTCAATGAATATTAGATTTCCACCCTGATACCTAGATCTGATCAGATAATGGGTTTCTCTCCATTAAAACCTTGTATAGTTACAAACTCGTTGTAGATTAATGCCCAAACTTATTGTTATTTATTCAGTTACATTATTAGTTTCTGTCTTTAAATTAATCATATCCCTTCTCCCCTTTTACACAGTGAGTCTGAAATAAGAATAGTTCTTAGAGCAGGGCAATCTAGACTTTTGCTCAAACTGGTCCAGCTGGTTTTATTGGAACTTACTCTCCCCACCACTGGTTTTATTTTGAATCCCTACTCATCTATGAGACGAGTAAAAGGTTACTTCCTCTAAGAAGCCCTTTCTGACTCCACAAACTAAACCCAGTATATAAGCTACTCCTCATTTATAAACATCATTCACCCTCCTTTCTTTCCCATTCAGCATACATACAAATCACATGTACTAAATTCTTATAGAATATTTCCAGTGTGAATGTTCATCTATATATTTAATAGATTTATATATGTATATTTATATTCTAGATTTATATATTTACAGATATTTATAACTATAAATTTGTTTATTTGTTTGTTTGTCTTTCTAGCTATAGATTTTGGTAAACTCATTTCCCTTTTCCCATAAGACAGTAAGGCTCTTGAGGATAGAATCCTTGATGTTGCATCCTCAGTGTGGACCTTTATTAATAAATAAGTTCCGTTAACTAGTTTCAGTAGTTCTCCATTCCTTTTTTTACTTGGTTATTTGCTTACTTATTTATTTATTGCTCTAACACATCTGGAGAATAAGACATCTCTCATCAGAAACAGTAGTTTAAGACCATCCCTCAAAAAGGTATGGGAGATATAAGAATCCAGGGAACCATTTTGCATGTTTTGGAAAATGACCTTATGTGACTTGAATGTGCCTTCACAGTGTCAAGTGATCAAGCAGTTCCTAAACAGGAGTAACTAGTGCAGCTGCTACACTGATTTGCCTTTGCTCCATTTCTGTAGATTCAGCCAGTAAGGAGATAACTAGTCCAAATGGTTTTAGACAATTTATTATTCGTAGCATAGCAGACAGCATGAACTTCATGTCCCCATTTGTTTCCTGGGAACTAGATAGATGCTGTGCACACAGTGGATCCCTTGCTTCTTAGGGACTCCATGATTTGGAGGTCTTGCTGTTACATAGGTGCTTCTGGCAAACTCGGCTCTCCTCTTCGTTCCCCTCCCACCCCTCTCCTTCCCTCCTTTCCTCTCCTGCCTTCTCATCTCCTCTCTCTCCTCTGGAGAGAGAAATATTATCTTATCCTGAAATATATCTGGAGAGAAGAGGGAGATGCCTCTAGCTTTATTACCCGAGAATGTGTCCAGGGAGAGACAGCTCGAAGTATCTCCAGGAGTCACTATCTTTACGTTTCCAAGGGTGTTAGGCAAACATCTCTGAACAAAGCTATCAATGTTCTCTGTTCAGAAGATGTGCATGAACACCAGACCCATGGAGAATTATCTTCCAACATAGAGGGGACTATATAGACTACCCATTCTGAGAATCATGTAAGTATTCCAACCTGATTTTTTTATGCACAGTAAAAGTAAGATTCAAGAGTCCAAATGAATTAGAGAAAAGCTGAGGTCAAAGCAAGTTTTCATGCTAAAATCTAGGGAAGCATACTCAATGCTTAGCTACTTATTTTTTTTCTCTCATTTAGATTATTATTTATATTGTATGATTTACATATTTTACAACATTACAAAATATTGTTTTTAAAATTATTTTTCTGGAAGTGGGCTTTTCTTTTTCACTCAGTGTGACATCATGAAGAGACTTGATTTTTATCTTCTTCCAAAGTTTTTATATGAACCATTCACCTTTTGCTGCCTCAGAGTGAAGATGTTATGGGTGAAGAAGAGTACTTTCATATTACCTGCTTTTCAAGAGAATAAACTAAACATTTTGATATCAAAATTCAAGTGCCAAATGAAAGCTTACTCATAATTTTTCATAGATACATATTCAGAAGAGTAGATCATTCTGTAGGAGTCCCAGCATATTGAATTTTAAAATGGTTGTTTAATTTTTAAATTTAAATATTTAATAATTTTTTTTAAAAGGTATACAAATTTATCTTTATTTATTTAAAGTAGTCTTTAGGGCTATCTATATTTATCATATGTGTACAAATATACCATGATGTGTTTCTGCTCGTAGCTTAAACATACTCTTAATGGAATTATCCCATTTGAAGGGCCAAATGAGATGATGAAGGGACCTGTTGAAATGCATGGTCTTATGTTTTTGCTACAACATAGTTTTATCTACTGTGATTATTACTTGCAGGTCACATATGTTAATTTTCTATATTTAAGAACAAGCAACACAAAAGACTATTTCTCTCATAACTGATAAGAGGGAAAATAAAAATCATATGTCCAAAAACAAGGTTCCAGACACAGACAGAAGATGGTTGTCTTTCCTGGAATTTACAATGCTAACTTTATTCATGGAAGATAATAATAATTCAGTAAGTCACTACCCCTCAATTCCTGTAAATCAAACCTGCATTAGAGTGGAGCTACTGATGGAGAATGGATAGGAAGTGTGTAAATTATATTTCTGTTTCTGGTACAGCAGTTTTGGACTCAATATCCCATTTATTTCTTTAACAATATGACAAGCAATAACTTTTTACATTATTCAAGGCACTAGACTAAGAGCTTTACATAAATTATCCCACTTAATTCTTAAAATAAACCTATGGATAGATACTATAATTTTCTTGATGATAGAATAATTGAATATCCACTAGATTGTAAGCTTCATGAGGGCAGAAACCATGTTGATTTTGTTCATCAATTTTTTGTCGGTGCTATGGTACTTGGCATGTGGCAGAAGCCAATACCTAGTAACAAATGGATATACAAATTTTCATTTTTAATGTGAAGATTCTGGGTTCTAATTACTTGTTTATAGTTGCATAATGAGAAAGTGATGTATTTACTTTGCTAGTCCTAGCCTGTTTGGCAGCTTCAAAATTCATCTTTCCATCTATAATTCTAAGGAAGTTTCATAGCAAACTCTGAGGACAAATGTACTGTATTCCCTTACCTTCTACATCAAGAGGGCTAAAAATGAGAGTATCTCCTTTTAGTTTCTGAGATCTTGCATATTGCATTTGTCTTGCTGAACTCAGAGGAATGATTTAAATGCAACATGTCCACTTCGTTGGTTGAAGACACTATGCTTGAATGATAGATTTGTGCCTGTATTAAAGTTGCATTGTTCTGAGGAATAAAAACTATAAGTTAACTGCCTGTGATCATATAGAAAATGGTCCATGGTCTGAATAGCTTTGTCCCCAACAGCCCTGCCAAAGGAAGAGAGAGAGAGAGAGAAAGAGAGAGAGAGAGACAGTGATTTTTATCCTGTAGATTGTATCCAGAAGTTACCTGCAGCTTAGATGTATATTTTTATTTCACTGCTGAACCTTTCTTTACCTTCTCAGTACAAT